GCAGAAGAACAACATTGAACGGGTGCAATGCAAATTTTTAAAGTTTTTAAATTACAAGGTTAGGGTCATCTATCCCCCCACGGATTTGATGAAAATGTGTTTCGTAATAGATATAATGTACAATCTCTTGAAAATAGAAGAAAATTAATGTCAATTTCTACAATTTATAAAATACTTCATAATATAATTGATTGTTCTATTCTACTCTGTAACGTTTAAATTTGGCCTTATAGCGGTTTTTCATAAAAATAAGAATAAGCTAGTTTTTATCCCTGTTCAGTAATTATTTAATGGGTCCTTCTATACCCGCATTTTAACCACTGTGCTTTTGGGATCGATATTCGAACAGAGAGGTCCATCTGCGACACTCTGGGTGAGCATGTGGCTGCACTGTATTCAAGATGTCTGTCTAGCGTTTCCGCTCTGACGTTAATTGTGGATATATGATCAGTTTGGGGTAGATAGGACCTCTATTTGGGTTTAGTTAGGCTATTTATTTCGTTTTAGAGGCTTTGTTTGCTTATTTTGGCCCTCTCTGTCAAGAATTTATCTCGTAATAGAGGTCGCTGATGGAACACCTATCTGTCACTGAGGTATGTTGGTATTACTATTTTTTTTTTTGAAGTGACGTCGGTTTCCGCCTTCTGGAAATTTTCGAGGTTCAGATTCGACAAGAGGTTTTGTTTTGAAAGGTACTGCTTCGAAATGTATTGGAAGTCGTTTCAATCCATTTGGGATATTGCGAAGCAACCTTTTTGTTTTTAAGTTACAACAGTGTGGATTTGGTAGTATTTTTTTGGTGAACACAATGTTGTAGGAGCTCTTAGGAGGATATATTTAACCACGTGTTGAATCTCATTGGTAAGTTTTTTCCACACAGTATTTTAAGTTACGGCGTAGTTATTCTTTTGTAAGACCTTCGTTCTTTTATTTCAGTGTCCACATATATATGTAGTCTTTCTGAATAAGTCGTTCACGAATTTGCCGTTCAAGCTGATCTGGTGCATAGGTTGTTCCTCCTTTGCGGATTAGAAAGAGGGGTAAATATGCTTTGATTTTAGTTAGAATGCTTATTTAGATCTATCCCTAGGTTATGTTCTTTTCGTTGTATATATTTTCAGTAAATGGGATGAACTATTAGGGGTAGTATCTTGAAATCTAAGGGTGTAATTTGCTTATTAAATGTAATTGTTGGGTAGAAATCGCTTCACGAGCCGTCTATCCTGTTACTTTGTAAATCTGAAGATTACCACATAAATTGATAAGCCGACCTTTAATTAACTAGTAAACGTTGAGTAGTTATTACCTATTTCTAGACCTCGCTTCACAAGAAGGCTATGTAGGTACCTGGTTATTTAATTTTAACTTCTTTATATAACCAGGGATAAATAGTTATCGCTGTGTTTTATCTTATACGTTTTCTTTAGGGTTCTTGTGACGGGCACACACTTCTTGTGGCGGGCACACACTTCTTGTGACAGGCTATCAGTCCTTGTGAAAGGCCAACACTTCTTGTGACGGGCTAATACTTCTTGTGACGGGCTGATACTTCTTGTGAAGGGCCAACACTTCTTGTGACGGGCTGACTAGCACATCTTGCGACCAGCTAGTACTCCTTGTGATCAGCTAGTAATCGTCTAACGGGCTACCAACCTTTACAACAGGCAGGTTGATTTGTATGCCGAAGTACGGTGTACCGCAAGTTTTGCTATCTTATTTTTTTTATATTACTTATTACTATTTAATCTATTTTATTGGAGGGTGTTATTAGTACGTGTTTTAATCTAAACCTAATGTAAACGAGGTTTAGGGGTGTATGGTTTACAGTACATTTTTATTAAACCCGAAACACGTCACCAAGAGCTCTTTGTGGGGTATATTCTTAAGGGTAGTTAATATTCTTAAGGGTAGTTAATATTTTTAATAAGTAACGGAGTTTTACATGTTTTTACCCCTAGCGTCCGTAAATAGTACACTATTATTTGTTTATTTGCTAAATACAGTACACACCTCATGTGTTACATTTTTACGATTACCCCTAGTCCCATTTAGTGATTTTTAAGTTTAATATAGCGTTTTAGTTGTAAATTTTACTCCCAGTGATACTGGATTACTGTTAATAGTTGGGGAATCTGATAGTAATGTACTAAGTGATTTAGTTGTTATTAATTTGGTAAATATTAGTATATTTCATAGTGTGAACGAAGTTGACCCCCCATGTAACACGATTTATATTTATAATTATTAAACTTGGGTATAAATTGAATCTTTCTTATTTTTTTTTACCACCACTTGCTAACTGTCAGCATTTATTTTTATGGTAAAGTACCCTTTTAGTATATAATAGGAGCATATTCGATTTGTAGCCGCTTGATGGCCTTATAGAGGAGATGCTATAGTTTCCTATTTGGAGTTTGGTAGTGAACTGCCACATGGATTGTTGGATGTGAGATTAAACTCCTGGCGCCCACTCACAAACATTACTTTTTCTACGACTCGCCCCCTTCTTCACTGTAGTTAGTCGGCATCCAACTTTGGATTGACATAAATGCCACCTCAGGTGCTTAGGCACAGAAAGTAGGTAGCAACTCAAAGGAGTTTACTCTTTAGTAACACGACAAAATGCACGGACATCCAACACGTTTTCTCTTCCTATTCCCAGGACTAACCTGCTAATGAAATCACCAATTTATATTATTTGCCAAAATGTTAATATTTTATGTTCGAATTGTGATATATTTTTTGAAAAACTTGTACATGTTTTGCGCAGAGTCAATCCAATTTATAATTTTTATTTTTATGTTTTTAGCTTTATATATATTTTGTTATTATTATTTATTACTATCTTAGTAATTATCAATATTTACTCTTAAAAATCTATTAATGTTATATTTTGTCCTATCTTTGGATGTTATATCTGTTGGGCAATAAATAATTTATTTATTTAATATTCAAAAATTGAATGTTCTTAGAAAAAACTTACAATAAGTTTTAGGAAGAAATCACTAGGAAATTATTGAGGAAACATAATAAGTAAATTTTCAAAATATAATGAAATAATTTTAATGAAAATATTTTCTATATTATTTTAATTATTTAAACTTAGAGAGTTGCTTGCACTTCATTTCATGCTGCAAAGATATTTTATGTTGTATTCAAATTCAGTTAGTTTCAGTTTCAAGTCAAACATTTAAAAAATGTATATTTAATGATATCAATTAATAATAAGTATAATTACTGAAGAAAGGTCAAACCAGGTACCTACAGATACATAAACTTAAGGCCGCCATTTCAGTGTATTTTAGGTGGTCACAACAGAGGTTTACAATTATTTACAGAACCTATCTTTCACTGGATGGATTTTAATGAAACTTTGGCAGCTTATAGTAAAATGTTTAATGATTGCACTGATTTCATCTTTACATAACGCTTCATATTTTATTAATATATTCTTTACTTCATTATAATACTCATCATCACATACAAACTCCTTCATTCTTTCACAACTATCATTATTTTTCTTCATAATTTCATCTATATTTTTCTGTTTCTGTTTCATACATAAAATTCTACTCTCATCTATTCTATTATCGTCTTTTACACTAACTCTTCTGATTCAAAATGTATCCATTCTCCACTAATATTCAATTTCCTTTGGTCATAATCAATTATTACCTTATTTTTATTTAATAAATCATTTCCCATTACTATATCCCTTATCGTATTTGGAATTATAACAAATTGCATATATAGGAATGTATTTTTATAATTTATATCTACATTAATTATTCTGTTAGCTTCATACAATTTTTTTGAAATCGCTCCAATTAAATTAATTTTAGGTATTTTAATAATATTTTGTTTTAATGTATTAGTTATATATAAGTTTTTCCTTGATCAATGAAATTTGCGAACCTGTATCAATTAAAACTATCACTACTGTGTCTTGTCATTTCATTTTAACTTTAACTAACTTGTATTTACTTTCCTCTACTTCTTTTTATAGTATAAATTCTTTAGGATGCTCATATCTACAATAATACAGGTTCAATTTTTGTTTTTTTTTTAAACGCAAAAAAATGTCGTAAATCAAAATTTTGTATGTAAAAAAGTTTACTTTACAAAACTTATGTAGTCTGATCTGGTTGTACCCCAAGTTTTTTTATTTCGAGAAATAAGCGACTTTTTGTACGAATTTCGCTCCCTAATTATCATTTTTATTTTAATAAGGTATAGACTTTAAAATTAAAATTTTCAGTTTTGCTTTACAGATAATTTTAATATTTGATAAAAACTAAGCTCTGTAAAAAAGATATTAAAATTTAAATAAATTAATTATACAGTGTGGTATATTTGCATGAAATAAATTCATTTTCAGCTTTATTATGTACTGGAAAAAATCTAAAACAGGTCGATTTCTATTCGTAATTTGATAATTTATAGTATCATGGTTACACCAAATTTAAAAAACTTTATATTGCTGAAAGTATAATTTAAATTCCTCTAAAAAAAAAGTGCCACACGCACCTCTTTTATTTAATATTTTAGGGGAGGTTCATATTTCGAAGTTTCAGGTTATTTTCCAAGAGTACATAATGACGCTAAAAACACCATTTTTTCCCAAAAAAAACTTAAATTTAAGAAAATAACAGAAAAATAGATAAAGTATTTACATAGTAGAAGAAGACAATTTCTTTATTTAAGGATTATATAAACAGCGGTTATCAATTTTTAAAAGAGATAACAATGTTGAAAAAAAATCCAATATTTTATAAGATACATTTTGTTCAAAGCGTATTTTTCGCTAAAACCAGATACATCATTTAAGTCGCATCTTAAGACGCACATCGTACGATTTTAAAACAGTTAATGCCTCTTTATGCGTCCAGTATTCAGATAATTCGAGTATTAACGATCGAAATGCACTTAAAAAGCTGCACGGTATCTGTTTAATGCCCCGATTACGGAGAATATTGAGAGTATTTTATGAACGGACTTACCCTATTAAGTTGTTTAGTGAGTTTGTTGATCGTTTGTTTGTCTCTGGATTCGTTGCGTTGTGCGATTTCGAGTTGCGTTTCCAATTCCACTATTCGGGTTTCGAGAAATGACTGAAACAAAAAAAAAAAGAAAAATAAACAAAAATAATATTTTTTTAATACAATGTTCTAAAAAAAAGGTGTAACTTTACTATTTTCTATAATTGCCATTTTTCCTTTGATGTAATTCAATGTCTGGTAAAGTATTAGCCAAGGGAGTAGTTGTTTTCCTATTAATGTGACACATGTCTTTGAGTTTTATGTATTTTCTTTACTTTACATCTTAGTCGCATTTAAGTTTAGTATTATTACCTTTTTTATAACAACAAATTTCTTATATATTAAAAAAAATCGGTAAAGTATTTTATCCAGAACTTCCATCGATATTTGGTAAAAGGAAAACGGAATTTCCAGAATTTTTAATGCAACTAGCGACACTTCAAAACAAACCGGAGATATTTGTAATATTTTGGAACACAGCCTTCTTAAGTTAAAAACTAGAAATCTCTACAAATACGTTAACGACGATTTAGCAAATTTTATTTCTATTTTTACTTTCCTTTTCTTTATTTCTTTTTCGAACGACCATCCAACCGTAATAATCTAAATTCACCGCGTAAGTACTTAGCGCACGAGCTATGCACGCTATATTTTATAGCTGTCATTAGGAAAGTAACGGTAGATGGGAAAGTCTGTTCACCGAATTTCTACGAAACACGAAAATGGAGAAAAATACAGAGATTTATACGGTAATGGCTCCGGAACGACGTAAAAGAAACTTTTGATTTTTTACATCTGTTATTTTGTGATTTAGCGGTTGGAATAGGGAGTAAATGTATTGTGTGTTTGTATATATATATATAAAAATAAGAAAGTGCTGTGAAAAAATCTGTTAAAAAAAAATAATATCAAATTATTATTATTTTTTTTTAATAAGAAGTAAACCAAATATGGAATTTGGTTTTTGTGCATATTAAATTTAGAATGTATTCTTTCTATTCAACGCCGGACTTTGATTTGGACATTTATTTATTTATTTATAAATTTGGCAACCTAACAAGCAAATAAATGCCCAATTATAAGGTTGCACGACAAATAAATTACACATTTTCATGATCAATACATCATACTAACTTAATACTGAAATTAACAATAATTTAAAAAAAAAGTGACAACAGTATATTAATATTTAAAGCGCCGGTTTAGTTCATAACTTAATAGTTTTACCTTTTACTCAGCAATGACGTCGGCCATTCGTCATAGTACTACCAACTAATTAAAATGTCCCTAACTAAGCTAATAATCCGAAAATAACACGAATATTTACGAGCATTCATGAATGTAGTCATTACTAAAAATCTGATGTGTCCAACACATGACTTTTCTATCTAGTTATTATAGGCTTTTTCCGGTTATTTTGTACAACCTATTGCAGCACATCTACAAATGTTTAGAGGATAAACTAAATATATACATTTTCCACATACATCTACCTCGAAACATTTTTCTATAGATATTCATTCCTACAATTTTTCCATTACGGTCCATTTTAGAAAAATCATGTATAAACAAAAATTATAGAGATTGATATCGCAAACAACTTTTAGTTCAACAATTTTCATAAAAATCAGAATTTTGCACATTTTGTCAAATTTCTCGAATACGGACGATTTCAGAAAATTTTGACAAAAAAAAATTATAGATAATAATATTAGAAGTAACTTTTATTTGAACAATTTTTTTTCCAAGCATAAATAACAGATATATTCCATAAAATATGAAAACGGCCTCCCATAAAGTACCCCCCCAGATATTCCAACTTTGTCCAAAATCTAATCATTTCACGTCAGGCCGAAATAAAACTTAAGTTTAAAATTTAATGTTTTTTCTTTATCCATTTTTGAGTCTTCTCCAAATTTCGAAATTTACACATTTTCTCAAATATCTCGAATAGAGAAATTATGTATAGGATAAAAATTATAGAGAATTATATTACAAACAACTTTTATTTGAACAATTTTTATAAAATCATACATGCTATTTAATTATATAAATAAACATTATTTTTGTTATAGATATATTATACTCAATACTGGCAACAAAAATGGATTTATTGAGGGTGCCGAAGCTACATATTCTTCAAAAACTAAATTAAATGATTATCATGGAGAAATGAATAAAGACAATTTTTTAAATTGGTTTGAAAACCAACTACTAAAGAACCTTGATGAACCTTCTCTAATTGTTATGGACAATGCTTCATATCATAGCATGTTACTACATAAGACACCAAATAAAGGCTCATCCAAAGCTGAAATACAAGAGTGGTTAGCAAACAGAAACATTGATTTGTCTGTTACCATTGTGTTTTTAACCCCATTGAATTAATCTGGGGCATTTCCAAGCAATATTATAATAAACATATTGGTAGAGATGGTAATAAAGAACAAGATTGTTTAAATATGTGGTCTGGAAAAATTCTATTGAACACACCGAAAAAGAAATTTTAAAATTGTATGAGAAAGAGTTTTTGATAGATTGGATAGAAATTAAGCCTATTATAATTAACCCCAACAGCGATAGTGATGACAGTGGTTCAAGTACTTGCGATTTGGATTAGGAGAAATTATAGAATTTTTGTAGGAATTACAAAGATTAGTAGATGAGAGAAAATATATTTTTTAAATAAAACATTGTCTTATTTTAATAACAATAAATAGTTTAATATATTTATCTGTATTTGTATTTAGTCCAAAATATATATAAGTATATAAAAAATAAAACACTCAAAGGTTTCGCTATGCGAGTCTTACAATTAAATAATATTTACAATGGTTTTTTATAAAATTGAATATATAAGAGTAGATATTATCAGTTTATACAATACAGCTAAAACACTCTCTTGGCGGCAACGGTTTGCGTCGATTTCGTCGCGCATCGCTTAAGCTCCGCCTTCGGAGGGAAAAGATGGTTTTGGCGTTCAGAAGTGTACTTAGGTAAGGTGTTGAGTCGTGCGTATAATTTCGTTGATTGTATAATTTCGTGGAGCCTATAATTTCGTTGATTTTGTTTGAGTTAAAGGTACTGTTATTATTTTGGTGACTCTTTAGCTGTGAGTAGAATGAGTGAAAAAAAAAAAGACATCATTCTGTTTGTGCAGTCAAAAGCTGTTTTAATAAGGGTTATACCTGCAAGAAAACATTCTTTAGTTTTCCCAAGGACCCAAACCGATAAGTAACACATTAAAAGAAATTTTCGTTGTTAAAAATATAATTTATACAGGGTGTCCCATTAGTGCGTTATTGTTCATTATTTTGTTGTAGACACGCAAAAAAGTTTTAAATAAAAGTTATATGGATTTGAAAAATACCTACATATTTTAAAAATATCTTTGGATATACATGGTGTCACGTTTTTGCCTGGCAAATTAAAATGTATGTTTTTTAAATGGAACACCTTGTATTTTATTTTATGATGAAATTATTAACACCCTAAATTATTGTAAAGACGAGTTGCTACAGAAAAAATTTAACAGGTATGTGTGTGGTTACCTTTTAATAAAAGCCTTGCGGATCCACTCCTGTGATACCTGTCTTAAATATAACAAAGATCACGTTGAATTAGATGATTTTTCTTTTTATTGCTTTTTAAAGGCATATGATAACGCCAATTCAGATACATTTGGAAATCTGCAACTGTCAAATGATGAATTTGTAGAACTAATATTCAATATTGAAAAGATATTTCAAAATAATTTTGAAAAATTGGCTACAAAAAATAACATTTGTACCACACTTTTAGAATTAATTAACCCAATACCCTTTAGTCATCCATGCTAACGTTTTCCAAAAGAATAACCTATTTTAATGTATGTTTAATCTCAATAACTAAAAAATATACTGACAATTAGTTTGACAGAATTGTCATTTATTTAAAATTTTAAAAATAATAGCAGTCGGTTGATCAAAATATGAACGGTGATTGGAGAATTTTTTTTTGCAGTGTTCTCACTACCTAGAATGGATATGAAATATATTCGTTCAATTGAAGGCAATAGCATACTTCTTCGTTTTGTAATCTGTGCATGGATATTAGCCAATCTATGCACATGCTACAAAACAAAAAAGTATGATATTGCGTTCAACTACAAATATATTTCATATCCATTTTAGGTAGTGAGAACACTTTAACAAAATTAAATCTACATATCACGTTCATATTTTGGTCACCCAACTCCTATTATTTAAAATTTTTTAAATAAGTGACAATTCTGTTAAACTAATTGTCAATATATATTTTAGTTATTGATATTAAATATACATTAAAATTTTTGTGTAGACTCGATAAATAATAGCATTTTTGTTTTTATTGTGTCCACATTTAAAAAAAAAATTTAATCAAACTACATGATACTAATTTAATTACGAGTATTAAAATTAAAGTCCTGAAAGTTTCGGTGAAGATGAGGACAGAGCATCTGCCTTCCACGCGAAAAGCCCGGGATCGAATCTAGGCCGAGGACTAATTAATTTTTCATGTTTATTTTATTTTATAAATTAGTCAACTTCGTAAATTATTTTAAAATTAGTTATTTTGTCTAAATAACCTAAAATATTTTTTTAAATTTGTAGATTTTCGTTAGTGGGTCGTAAAAAAAATATACTGACCATATCGAGTGGATTGTTCATATCACAATCAGACGATTGAGTACTCCGCCTACGACGTCGGGCTCAAACTTCGTCTTTGTGTGATATGGCTATCATATCCACCCTTGTTGAACTAACTACTATTCATTTGTTTTCTTGGTTTAAGTTTTACATCAGAAATAGGAACTAAATTAATTTACTTTTCAAGTTTTCTTGTAAAAATCGATATTACTTTCTCCAAGTACAAATTTAGTACCTACCTAAAATAAGTACTACTTATGTAATTTCGTGTAATATTGTAATTCAAATTTCACATTACTATAAAGTTTCAAAATTCCCTACTTCGGTATGGTTAGATAAAAATTGAATATATTACGAGTATATTAATAAAAACTGTCAAAGTATTACTTCTACAAATCTGTATTT